CATAGGTCCACAACTAGCTGTTTCCTTTAATGGCTGGGTGATGCTGACATTTGTAGTATTACCTGATACCTGGTCCTGGAGATGAATAGACTACCCACAAGCTCAAAATTATTTGGGCATGTGATACTGAAAATAAAGCACTTGGCACTCAATATAAGGAATCAAAGAATTACATTAATGATTTGCTATTTTTATCAACTTACATTTTAGTCCTTGCCCTTAAATGTTTGTCTTAAAAAAAAAATAGGAAAAAGTGCTCAGGTGATTTTGTATGCACATAAATTAAGTGCTGAAATAATATGTAAATGGTCACTAGTGATTAAGTACAAAGGAAGATCAGGAGAAAAGAATGTACAGATTTCTTGGCAGTGTAACATTTTCAGGCATCTCTAATGTAGGGGAAATTATAATATTGTGAGGTTCATATTTTTTAAACTTGAATATCTTATTCTTTGTGTTGAGTAAACAATGTTCTTTATAAATAATGATATAGTTCACTTTTTTCTTTCCACTCTAAACTTTTATTACTCATCCAGAAATTTATGGTGAAAGTTGGAAACGTTGTATTTAGTTCAGGGCATCTCTCACTTTGTTGTAATTCAGGTTAACATTAGTTAAAGAAAGAGAGAATAGGAGAGAAGAAATTTGGGTTGTGAAAGAAAAAAATGTGTGGATGAAAAAATAAGAAAGGAGAGAGAAATCAAGAAAATAAGTCAATGGAAGAGAAAAAGAGCAATTACAAGAGTTACAGAAGGGGGAAAGCTATGGTAAGAGGGCGAATAGGGCAAATAAAAGAGAGGAGGCAGGACAGTCAGTGAAAGTCAACTGGGGAAAAAGAAAGAGGAACTAAACTGTGAGGCCAGCTCTCAAATCCTCATCATTGTGTTCAACTGTCTGTTAATAAAATGTCTTTGTAACTGAACTTTTAACTTAGGAACTTCGGATTTATTGACGTTACAATTGCTGATATGTTGAGTACTTTGAAAAGGAAACAAACTGGTTTCACTTGAGTTTAACTTCAGTCTGTTTAACCTGCTCTCAACACAAATACACCCCATATACACTCACATGGCCACATAATTCCCTGGGATATACTGTTGAAGCTGGCAGATCTTTTATTAATTTTTAATCTATGGATAGAGAAATTTGTAACTCATGAATGGCAGCATTTTTTAATGATTCAGTAGTGACCCAAAAGGGGTTGATGAGATTCTCAACCCCATGTGGCTAGAAATTTCCTCACATCATCCAGAACGCAGTGAATCTAGTTATAGGCAATGACATTTTTTCACCAATCAAGTCATTTCCCAGTTAATTCTTACCACCCACTTTTTTTTTTTAAATTTTTTCTGAAGGCTTATTTATTTATGCATATAAGAGCTGGGGTACAGGCCAGAGATGTGGGAGGTGAGAGGATTCATCAGAGACAGAGTGGGGAGCAGAACAGGCAGACTGACTGAAATACACTGTCGAGGGGAGCAGCGGGTGAGACAGGAGAGATCTGCTGCACCATGTGGGTTGCTCCCTGGCTGACCGGGGATTGAACTCATATTGCGGAGGCTGTGGGTTGCTTCATAGTGTGGTGCTTAACCCCTTGCAACATCAGGGAGGCCCTACCCACTCTCTTGAGAGCATCAGTCAGTCTTAAGCCAAAGTGAGTAGGTAAAATTAAGAACAGAATCATATAAATTAAAACTATGTTAGAGAATACAGAGTCTCCAAGGAGCTGAAAGATGGCAGGACCATTCTTTTTTATGGCAGAGAAGGCAAAGAGAGAGGGAATAAAGGTTCTGACAGAGTCATGAGGAAGGAAATACGGATTCTTATAAAAAACAAAAAACAACAAACCACCAAAACCAAAAATACCTTTCATGATAAATTGGTCTTGGTTACTAACTGTGGAGTGAAAAATAAGAGCAGAGACTATAATAGAGAAACATGTCAAAGGCTGTCTGTGTATTTTTTCCTGGCTAAAACCAGAAGACATACTGCATTTTATGGATCACAAGTCAACAGTAATAGACATGAACCCCCCCCCCCAATAGTTTATCTATGGGTAAACAACAAGGATTGGTTAACTTACGCAGTGGAACATTTTCCAAATATGTGTATTTTTCATATTTCCTCCTTATATGGAATGGGACTGTTAGATTTTTGTAAGTACACTGCTGAGGTAGATCATGTTGCATTTAGGATTGACTTCTCTTTATCCTCAGTACAGTTAGAAACTGTCATAGATGGTCCTTGGTTATGTCCTGGACTGACCTTTCTCGAAAAAGTTGCATGCTCCCTAACATCTGCCCTTTTCTTGTAGCACCAACGGCTACAGTATTGGCTCTATTACTTTTTCAGGAGATCTTACTACATGCTCTGCTGCCTGACCTGTATCTGCATATTCTATGTCTAGGGTTGCAGTGCCAGAGGGGACAATTTGTGGAATTTTGTTCTTAGAAGATCTGGCTGTAGACTTTGGATGTGTATCTAGCTTTCACCATGGATTAACTGTGTAGTTTAGTCATTTAACTTCTCTAAGCATCAGTTTCCTCTTTGTAAAACAGGAAACATCACACCTATTTTTAGTGATTATGAGAGGTAAACAAAGGTAACATATGGAAATCCCTTGATGTATCATAAAGACTTAGAATAACATTAATATTTGCTATTTTATTATAGGAGACGGCAATTCTTGATCTAAGTACAAAAGAGAAGGTTGTTTTGGTTTTTAATCAAATCATAACACTTAAACATCTAATTCTCTGGCCAGAATCATTAGTTACAATATGTTTAAGTTACTATTTTGAGAAAATCAATAATAAAATAATTTGGGGACTCTGCTCATAAATAAAATAACTTGAGTAAGGCTCTTCATCATTTTGGTTTCAGTATCCCCATTAGGAAAATGGATAATGAGATATTTTCCCAACTTACTTCAAATTAAATTCTAGACAAAAGTAATTTGTTAGGCAACTAATCTGCAACAGAGAAAATTTGTTCAAATAATAAAAGCAAACAAACTTAAAAATGGTTGTTCTCTTTCAATAAGCCGAAGGGATATGAAGATGAATAGGTTACATTCTTTTTTTTTTTTTTAAAGATTTATTTATTTATTTATACAAGCACTGGGTACAGTCAGAAGTGTGGGAAGGTGAGAGAATTCACCAGAGCCAGAGCAGAACAGGCAGACAGATGAAGTACACTGCTGAGGGGAGCATCGGGCGGCAAAAGAGGTCTGCACGCCATGTGGGACCCTCTCCTGGTGGCCGGGGATCGAACTGGCGCTGCAGAGGCTGCGGGCAGCCTGGCAACCCAGCGCTCAACCACTGCGCCACGGGGGAGGCCCGAATAGGCTACATTCTTAAATGAAAAGTGGAGAGAGGGTAGCCAAAAAGTTGATTCACCTATTATAGCCTTTTTTAGAGCTAAAGATTTAGGAAATTCAGTTAAACCAGTTATTGTAGCAAATCAAGCTTATTTTTAGACTCTAGTCTCTTTAATTCATAAACAGTAAAGGCATCTTTCCTTAGACCAGCAGTGACTGTGTTCTCCTGCTCTTCAATTCTAGTCCTCAACTTATTATTTCAAGAACTTCAAGTATATATTTTTATTTATTTTTATAGTGAAGTCAAACCAGTTGTCTTTGTAGATAGTCTTATTTGTATTTCAGCTGGAGTTAGAGTTAATTCAAAATGGTTTCTTAAGAAAGACTATAAAAGTAGAGCCATTTTCCTCTTGCCAGATATTTTTGACCCTGCAGTGCTCATAGATGAATGTAAACCAGCCACAGTGCTTTTAGCCTTGCAGTCACCCACCATCACCCACTCTGAGGACAACTGCATGGATCAGCAGTCAGGGCAAAGTAGTAGCTGATGGATTATAACAATACTTGATTTTACTTTACAGTGTGCCCCTCAAACACTCAAACTGAGCCAGCCCAGTTTTCTTTATCTAGAGGTATGGGTAGTAACTGAGTGCGATTGTATATTCCTGAATAACTGCTAAAAATAACTTGGCTAAAACTTGCTAAATCATTTATTTTAAAATATCCCAAATGCAAAAGTAATATTAATGATTAAGTTTTTTATTTTTTAAATTGAGCTGGGCTTAGGAACAGAAGGGCAGATTGGCAAACATGGAACTAGTGGGCTCAATAACAAGAACCAGAAGGGCTAATGATTAAAATTCCCTATTAAAATTATTCATATGCTTAAGAATAAAAAGGCTAATTATATATGCACATGTATACACATATATCTTGATTAATATCCTATATCTGCCTACTTTTTTATTTCTGTGTATGTGCCTCAGGCAAAATATATGTCTATGTATATTTTTTTGCAAAGGTCTCAAGCTTATCTTAAAGTAGAAATTGGTGTTTTAAAGACATTGGTGTTTCAGATTTAAGCTTCTTCCTCTGAATTGTTAATAAATTGTAGAGATGAAACTATTAAAATAATTAATACTTTGTAAGTATTTTCGGTTTTGGTTACAAGTAAAACAAATGACCTCTTGGTTCAATACAGATATAAGTCACTAAGTTACTGGGTCAGTTTGGCAGCAAATCATCTAGCCTTCAGTGACTTCCTTGATCTGTCTTTAAAACACCACTTTTCTGAGCTATAGCTTGCCCTACGGGTTAATGAATTCACACTCTCAAGGTACCTTGAGGTCTTCACATAATAGTACAATGTAAGTATTACAGTTTCAAAAAGGCATTTAAAATTTTTCTTTGTTCAAGGACACCAGAGCACTTCTTTGGAGGCAAGCATTAAGACTTCTTAGCAACAGTAACATTTAATATGTTAATACATAATTAAGAATTAAATCACACACAAAAATAGTTAACACTAACATGTTCAAAACAGCATGACATAATAGTTTCATTTCCCCAGTGCTTTAGTGTTAGTCTTGGATAAAACATATTTGTTCATTTCTTTAAAGTCAAAAGGGTTCATCAACCTAAGAGTCTTAAAAGACAAGATAAAAAAGAAATAGGCTCTTACCTATAAGCAGTGTTGAACACAAGACCACTTGAAGCATTTTATAGGCCATGATCCTGGTTTGGAAAGAAAAAAAATATTTTTTAATTTAAATGTAACAGTGCCCATCAGGAACCTTCCAGAGGTATAAAGCATTTGCTGCATACCCGGATTTCCTATCAGCTGAGACAAGTCAGAGAGACTGTTGCTTGAGATGACGTTTTTATATAACTTCTGCCTTTTTACCCTTTGGACTTTATGGATTGACTTTTTTACAGGCTATCCTATATGGGCCATGCATGTATTTGTTTACCAATTGTACTGTTCACACAGACTAATGTTAAAATGAAAAAAAGGTGGGAAAAATGGATCACACATACATTGCTGGTGGGAATATAAAATGCTTGTGACTTTGCAAAAACAGTTTGACAGTTCTTATAAATCTAATCACACTATTACTATACAACCTAGCAATTTTATGACTTTATATCAGAGAAGTAAAAACTTATATTCATACTAAAAAAAAACTGTATAAAATATTCATAACAGCTTTGTTAGTAATAGGGAAAAAACTGGAAACAATCCAAATGTCCTTCCAACAGCTGAATGTTAAACAAATTGAGGTACATCTTCACCATGGATTACTACTCAGAAAAAAATAACATAATAAAACTTGATAGACAGAACAACCTAGAAGACTCTTTAAGGGTATTCTGAGTTAAATAAGCCAATCCCAAATAATTAAATACCCATATGACCTCATTTACATAACCTCCTTGAAATGACAGAATTATGGAAATAAAGAACATATAAGTAGTTGCTGGGAATTAGGTATTGGATGGGAGGTAGGTGTGGTTATAAAAGGCCAATGACAGACCCCTGTGGAGATGAAACTGTTATGAAACTTGGCTGTGGTGATGCACCTGTGAACATAAACATGATAAAATTACATACATCTCAATATACCTCCTTTCTCACACACATGAATACATATAAAGCTCATATAAAATGAACACATATGGTCTGATTGGGAGTGTGAACCGTAGATTATGCCAAAGCCAACATGATGACTGTGTTACAGTTTTGCAGCATGTTAATCATGGGGGTAACTGGGTGAAGGACACACAGGATCTCTCTATTGTTTCTTACAAATTGGTATGATTCAACATCTCATTAAAAAGTGATATTGGGCTTCCTTGGTGGCACAAGGGGTTAAAACGCAACTTATGAAGCTATCCGTAGCCACTGCAGCATGAGTTCGATCCCTGGCCATGGAGCTGCCCATATGGCGCAGCAGACCACTCCTGACTCGCCCGTTGCTCCCCTTAGCAGTGTATTTCAGTCTGTCTGCCTATTCTGTTTCCCACTCTGTCTTGGTGAATCCTCTCACCCCCCACACCTCTGGCCTATACCCCAGTTCTTTTTTTTTTTTTTCTAAAATTCTTTTTTTTTTAAGATTTATTTATTTATTTATATAAGCACTGGGTACAGTCAGAAGCGCGGGAGGGTGAGAGAATTCATCAGAGCCAGAGCGGGGAGCAGAGCAGGCAGAAGGACCGAAGTACACTGCTGAGGGGAGCAGCGGGCGGCAGGAGAGGTCTGCGCGCCATGTGGGACCCTCCTCCTGTGACCGGGGAGCAGCTGGGGATCGAACTGGCGCCGCAGAGGCCGCGGGCAGCTTCGCAACCCAGCGCTCAACCGCTGCGCCACCGGGGAGGCCCTATACCCCAGTTCTTATATGCATAAATAAATAAATCTTTTTTAAAAAGTGATATTAAATGCAAAGGAGTGTTTAACTGAATGGTAAAATTTTTTTTGTTTGTTTTCAATAAGAGAATGAATAAAGCCAGAAAACTTTTTCCCCTTTGATTTTTTTTCAAACAGTTAACTTTTTAGTGGCATCATTAACAGTTAACTAAATAGCTGAATAAATTCATCATCATACAGATTTATTCTTAATGGCAAATTATGCATCTGCTGTTCAATCTGCAACAAGTAGGTATAGAGATAGAACAGCAGTGGAAGACAACTTTCTGTTTATAGCTTTGAATTATGGAGGGTGCTTAGAAACTTGGATCTACCTGAGTTGGAGGTATGCCTCTAATTACTGATGAAAGTCTTAGGAAGACAGACACCTGGAAGTAAGCATAACAAAATTTTGGCAGACTATCCCAGATGTTGTGAAATCTTGGTGTGAAAGTTAGTACCACCATTCTGTAAATCTCCCCCTTATTTTTTTTTACTCAGTGGACAGATACACATATGCAAATGGTAGACTTGAGAAATCTAAAGAAAATCAAAGAAAAAACACTTTTTCATTACTTGAAGCAGTTTTGTTTTTATGTTGTTTCAGGTTTTAAATAGTGTTCCTCAGAGCTTATCTCTTCTTATGATCCACAAAAGAAAAAAGTCGGATCCATGAAAATTGGCACTCTTAATTATAAAAACACACAAATGCTCTTTGAAAGGAAATTGGAATTTCTGACTTTTAAAAACAGATCGATTCAGTGCCATGAATTAATGAAACTCATCAACAGACTTTGCAGCTCTGTTTACAACTTTGATGCTTTATACTTAGAAATTATTACTTTAATATGATATGGTAGACCTTGGTAAGCTCCTATGGTCTCTTCCATATCAGTGAAATATAAATGTTGGGAGAAAAATGTGTGAAATAGGGTCCAATATTATGAAAAAAAAATTAAAAAAAAAAGGAGCAGCCGAACTTAGTTTCTGTTCTGAGTCATACCATGAATACTATCAGATCCAATTAACTGCAAAGCTTTGTAGAATGCCGTGTTCTTTTATAGCATTCTGATAAGAAGTGATGGAGGGCATGGTGCAGCCTGGCATGAGATAATGACATAAGCATCAGTAAAAGGTGGAGGAGTAAGCCAACACGTTGGAGGAAGTTAGGATACTAACCCTTATGAACAGTGTACTATACTTTTAACAGCATTCAACCTATTGAAAATAAGCTGGAGGCAGCACTTACTTTTGTGAACTATTTGAGATTCTCATGAGTTGCTACATGACAACGACATTTTGCCAGAGCTCCAAGTAAAGGGGTCAGTCTTAAACTGATGGTTTTAAACTGACTGCAGATGGGTTTGTTATAGTTCATATAATAAAATAGAGTCTAACATCATTATCAGATCAAACTATTTTGGGGTGCAATTTCTTTCCTTAGAAGGAATATCCCATTATTGGCATATATGAATAATGACACAGCAGCTGCATCACAAGAATGAGTAAGAATTTCTATAAATTCTTATGCTACATAAATGTTAGACTCAGCTGGTATGGTGCAGAAACTGTATTTGAATTACTGTTTGGGGTACTATTTTACGTTGGAAATGAACTTTTTCTCAATTTTGCATAAAATAGAGACTTACTGAGGAAAACAGAAGGTATGCTCTCTGCTCTGAAGGTAGTCTTTCCCCTCCACTCAGTACATGATACCCCTTTTACCATTGTGACAAATGAGGTTTCCGTGCTGTTGCCCTATGAGAGAGGGCCTCCACCCACCATGTATCATCAGTGGGAGCTGCTTGATTTGGGGAAGTGAGCTAAAATGTTGGAGAAATGTATTCTGTTTTGTTCATTTTTGGTGTGGTTGCTAAAGATGAAAAGATTGATTGCAGTTTGAATGGCAGGTTCATTGTGGTTTGGAAGTATAGTTTCAGGACTTGCATAATAGATTTCTCTTTTACTAGATATAGGTAACATAAGGTCTTTGAAACATTGAAATGATTCTACCTTATTTGAGGAAGAGGGGGCTCCTCATTATTTGTGGGTTCATTTTCATCTTAAGTTCTATGCCATACAAATGACTCAGAACTTCCATCTCCTCTCTATTTATTTATAAATTTGTATATACACCACATAAGAATACAAAAGGTAGACAGTGGGGGGAATTTACTGAATTAACCTTTAGGTATTAGTCACTCATTCAACAACTATTTATTGGGCACATCCTTTGTTAAGGGTATTTTTCAAAATCTATCCATTTTGAACACATTTGAAATATATTGGCCCAAGTTCTAAAGTTTCAAAGGCATATCAAACATTGTTTCTTGTGTGGGAGGAGATAATTTTAGGTAAAATTTTTCAGTGAGGAGTGCTGGAGTATTTATGAAACAAATCCAGTTGGGGAAGAAGAACTTGCAGGAAAGGAAAGAGAATGGACATAGGGCAAGGGGCCTGGATGTCAGGATACATCAGTCAGACATCATATGTGAAGAACATTTGTAAATACTGCACTGGCCTACTTTCAGAATTCTTTATGGTACTATATTCAATAATTTCAGTGATTTTTTTATTGATTGCCACTATAAGCATATCAGAGAATTTAAAGATGTCATTAATATAAAAATATGCAACTAACAGTTTAAAAATGCCAATCTGTTTTATGATATGATGTTGAATCACAGGATTTCTTGATTAAGCTTTGAGGTAATGCATGCCAAGACATTTTCCTCATTATACCCTGAATAATTGATGGTTGACAATATGTGACATTTATTGAGCATCAGCAATATGCTAGCTAGTTTACAGAGCACAGAACTATCAAGGGACCCTGCCCAGTTGGCTCACTATCAAAATGCGGTCTGTCTTTTTCTAAGTCTTCCATGCTTCACTAAACTAAAAGCAAAGAAAGCATTTCTGGAGATTCATTGCAGAAGTGACGGGGGCCAGATTTTCTCTGCGGTAGCTCTGTGGGCATTGGTATTAGTTCCATAGGGAAGTAATCTGTTCCCATGGTTCTGGTAATCTCAGAAGATAAACTTGATAATCTAGTATAGATGTGAAGTAAAGGCTGTTCTATCATTTTATGATATTCTTTTTTCTGTTGCAACCTATAATTGAACCTTTACCAGTGTGACTCTCCCAGGATCAAAATGTAAGTACACGTGTTTCAGTCTAGTGTATATAAAAAACAGTAGTTGAATTCTCAAGGGAAAGGCTTAGTTTTAAAGGATTTAAAGTAGTTTTTAGTCTTGGAAATCCTGGTTTCTGGAGGAAAAGATGGGAAACTTAAGTCATAGGAAAGGGCGATGAACGAAGACTTATGGAA